AAATTCGAATACCTCTTTTATATAATTTTAATTTTATTTTTCCACTTGCCCCGATTTTCATAATCCTTATCTGTTAAATTATTTTCTTTCAAAAGTCTCTCTCAATTTCTCCAAACCAGCAATGTTTAGGTCTTCGTCTTTTCTTCCTACCCACAGAACACCACTCCAAAATGAAATTCGTAATTCTATATACTTTCATTATTTTACGTCCAAACCATTGTAATAGATTATATTGAATATTTTTAAAAATTGTATGTACTTAACTCATTTTTGTCTTATTTTTAAAATTTCTTATTTTATCTAATTTTGATAACCTGGATAACCTTTTGTAGCAAGTAATTTTAATTTTACATTTTTCTTTAATTCCCCAATTACTGACCGATATAAAACAATACTTTCTACAATAGATTTATATATTGTTAATTTTGTTATATATTCATCTCCATAATATTTTATTTAGCATTGATATTGCTGATCTTCCTTTGTTTATTCTGCCTTATATATTATCTATCCTTATTTATTTATACTCCCAAATATTTAAATTCTGGACAAGTTTTAATTTTGCCTTTTCCATACTGTAAAAGTCAATCTTTGATAATAATAATAATAATAATAATAATAATAATAATTTTATGTAAGTAGTTGCGAATTACTCTTAATGATACTTCTTCACAATAAAATAAATGTATAAAGAAAGAAAGAAAGGAAGTTCAAGAAAAAAAAACAATAAAAAAAAACTTAATCTTGTCGGATCACTCCGCGGTCACGTATGCAGATGCAATCCGGCGCACGGCGCGCAGCTTCGAAACTCGGATGTGGTTCAGTGGCGTTCTTCCCGCGCCGCAGATTGATGTAGCTGCCTCCCCGAAACGCTGCGCTTCTCTGCGCAAACGGATCGAGACGGCTCTGCGAACCGGCGATTGATTACCGCGGGCGGCTTCCGAGAATTCTCGGCGAGATCCCGCCGCCCGACTGCGCCCGCCTCCCCCTCCGACTCGCTATTCACGGGGAAATCTTATAGTGATAAGAGATACAACGTTGTTTGGTTTTGATTTCGCGTGAGGGCGTTTTGACGCGCCGGCCACCACCCAAAAGAGACGTTGTGATTTATTATCAAATGCAAACATCGTGTCCAGTGAAATTAATCGACAACAGGAAATCAGGAAATGTCAGAAGAAGTGAATTGTTGAATTTATTACATCTTGGTTTTTAGATGTTAAATGTATTGTCAAAAAGAGCCGTTTCAATTTCAGGCATTTTCAATTTTGCACCATTCTTTTCACGTTATCAATATAAAGTTTGTGATTTTCACCGTAGTGGAGCTTAAGCAGTTTCAAACGGTATGTTTCAAATGACATGAAACAATGGGTGGTATAAATAAAACTGAGTAAGTAAGAGCAATTTCTCACGAGTACTAGTAGTAAAGTAAGAACTACTACTTCTCATAAGGAATTCATTATTCATTATTCTCATATGAATAAAAAGTTTCGCAAAACTGGGAGCATTTACTTTTCTCACTCTTGAGTAATCGCTCACGAACTGATCTGTTGCGATTGGTCGATTTTCGTCTGTCTACGTTACTGCGCGACGCGTGCTTGTTCCTGATGGTGTCAACCGTGTTAGGGTAAATGGTGCAATTGACGTGCATTGTTAGCCAAATCATAGGAAATATTCCATCATTCATTCACTCACAGCCAGCTCACAAAATTCATGTATAACCTCTCTTATATCCGTTAAATACAATTTTAATCACAGAGGTTGCTTTGAAACTGAAGTAAAGGCTCCGCACTAGAAGCAAATTCTACAGTTTATTCATACGAAAAGTTAGTAATTGCTCTTCGACTGAACAATTAGTCACCAATGGAAAAATTACTCAAAATAAAAGCAATTACACACGTCTTTTATTCATACTGTTTGCAGCAATTGCTTTGAAAACTCGAGGAAGAAGTAACAGCTCATTTTTTTCCCACATCACCCAAAGAAATGACGATTGAAGAGAATCAGGCGTTATCGAAAACTACCACCTTGTTTCATATTTATATCGGTCACATGCGTCTTTAACCCTTTTTAACATGCAACCCTAAGTTAGTTATGTGTACCCATTCATCGCAAGTCAACATTCTTACGAAAAAATCACATGGTAATTTACAAGACAAATAGTAATCAAATAAATGCATTATTTTTGGGGACGTTCATTTTTAATTATAATGTTATTAATTGTGCAGTTTGAAAAATAAATATTTGGTAAATTAGCATTATTTTCGTAAGACAGAGGTTTGTCTTTATAAAAGGAATAAGTGTAAATTACCTGACCAAGTTCTTAAAGTACGCATGCATTACATCTTCTGTAATCACGACTACGTGATTTTGTAATGGCCAAGTTTTAAATTATTCGTATGCCTTCTCGTATCGTGCTTTAGATTTTTTAGGGATTGAATCTCCCGTGACTTCCGCAGCTGCATCCACAATTTCTTGAGGTACAGACGAATTTTCAGCGTCCATCTTCCTCGAGCCTCGGTATACAAGTTTTTTTGTTGAAATAGATATATCGCAAGCAATAGCCAACAATATCGATTATCGTGCCGCAACAACAGAACTCATGTGTTTCATATCGCAGTAATGTCGTAAATTTTCTCCAAAAAAAATTGAGATTTTATGGTGACTCATAAAACACTGAACATACCACGAAATGTTATGAGTGTTATTACTGCCCCGTCCAAATTAAAAATCTCGCTCCGCCTCGATTTTTAACTTTTGGCATCGGCAGTAATGACACTCATAACATTTCGTGGTATGTTAATAGCTATAAACAGTTCCCGCTGTCTGAGCTTTTCGTGAGCGTCCTCTGTCCGGAGGTGACTGCGCCTGCAGAGGGCGCTGAGTGCAACGCCCGCAGCGCGTACGATGCGCCCCGTCAGGAGCGTAGCGTCGCGGCGCGGCGCGGCGCCTTTGGCCGATTTCACGCGGCGCAGTCGCCTTCGCAGCCACTGCCGGGGCTCTGCAGCCCTTCTGCACTTCCTTTTCGCTTTGCCGTTTTATTGAACTGCCACTGCGCCCGAGGAGGGCTTCCGAAGGGCAAACCTGCGGTGGCGCATTCTGATGCAATCTCTGTGGCATTGATTTCGAAGTTATTGCTATGTTATTATATATTGTTATTGCTATTGAATGTTTTTATGTTTTTGGTTAAGAAGTTAAATAATCTACGAGTAGGGTGGTCACGAGTTGCAGTGGAAATAATACGAGTTTAAACTGTGACTTATTTATTTTGTTGAGGCTTTCATATATCCATTTTATGCAGAACTTAGTAAATGTATAACAGTTTCTCTTCGGTTGTCTACTCCCCAGTAGATGTGTTAAAGTTACCTATGTGTGTCTGTTTCCTCTCCTCGCCCCACCACCATGACACGAGCAACTAATCTTATGTGCGGAAACTATCCGTAGTATCTATGTTCCTAATTGGTGCTGTCGAAACTTACTACAGAGTGTTTAGAAACATATATGAACATTTTGATTCTCACTGCAAGTTCTTGTAAGTCAAAATATTGGTATTCAAGGGATAATTTTAATTTGTTATCAATTAATTCAAAAAAAAGAAGTATAATACGATCCCATGAAGCACAGGAATAATATGAAAACGTGGTCGATGACGAAAGGTGAACTCTGCTACTTCTTAGACTTTATTAACTCTGTGGAATCGCATATGAAAAAGTGGTTTTTATCCAAAAAGTAAAAATATAAATAAACCTAATAACAACAAATGTCTATTGACTACTGAGCCCTTGCTAAACGTTTCTCACTTATCAGTGCAGGGCTGCATTCACTATTGCTCTCTTGTGGCGAGGTTGTCAACTGCGTGAAAGTGAAATTTCGTTGTACCAGCTGTGCCACCGTATCTCATTAGTGGCAACAGCATATACAGCTTCTTAGCTAATTCTACCATTAACTAGAGCTTACAAATTTGGTAGTTATACAAAGAGTGATAACAATACATACATTATGTATTCATATATTTACAGCAATGTGACATTACGACATGTTAGAAAAGGACTGCATGATGTCGAATTCTTTGGACTTGAAAGTTTAACTTATTAACTATTAAATTTTATATTCTTTAGATATTTGAAGACATTACATATGTGAGATATTTCAGTAAGTCATTTGGAAAGACAATTTGAAAGCGAGTGTGTCATACGTAAGTCGGAATACACTGGGCGATCTATTAAGATATGTTGAATAGTTATAAAGATGTAACAAGATATACGATGTGATGGAGATTTTTTCTTAAACAGATGTTAGTTGGTTTTCTAATGGTACATAATTTTAATTTTTTATTGATTTACTTATTTATTTACTTATTACTTAACAGTTGACTAAGACTTATGCCTTATTTTCTTAACCGTTTACTAACTGATCTTAAATTACTGATTAACTTATTAATTATTTGCTTATTAACGTACTAATTTCCTCTCCAGTCCAGGCTCCGCTCACACAAACCATTGCTGTTATTTATTACTCCCTAATTTTCGTTCCCCTAATGGTCCAAACCTTTTCTAGAAATGTTCCTAATTCTTACATGAAGTGAGACCTTTTATTACCTAATATGTTTCGGGCGAGCGTTTCGTTTCTATGTTGGAAGTAGTAGTTTCCATCGATTTTCGTCTCCCTGTTTCGGTCGCACATGAAAGAAAGTTTTAAAAGTCTAGTAGATCAGCATGTACTCGACTTCTGACGTCAGGTTTTTTCCCCTTCAGGGTTTTTTCCTCAGCTCTTTCTGCGACTTAGTTGCGATGGAGAGACAACTTCCAGTGAATTCCAGAATTCGAAAGATTAAAACGAGGTAGGATATAGGTATTGTAATGGCTTAAAGACTTTCAGCCTCGCCACTTAGTATTAAGTTATTTCATTTGTGTATGTAATAATTACCTATTAAATAAAAAAAATGTTTTCATTGAAATAAGTAACACGTGCTTATCTGTCTCTTGTGTGTATAACGAGTTCCCATGGCAGTAAGTGTTCGCGGCGTGCGCGTGCGCAGATCGTGGAGGCGCGCGGGTGCAAGGTGCCCATCGTGGTGGTGGGCAACAAACGCGACCTGCCGCCCGAGCAGCGCGCCGTCGCCCGCGAGCTCACCGAGACCGTCGCCATCTTCGACTGGGAGTGCGGCTACGTCGAGTGCTCCGCCAAGGACAACGACCACATCGTCGAGGTATAGCCATGCCGCGCCGCCACCCAAACACGTATGGAAATGGCTCTTGTATAACTGCAATGGATGAGGAACTGTGAAATGAGAAGGCCCCCCAAGGATTCACCGAGAAGACCTGGATCGCCCAAATCCCTTTTCCTCAACAAATTTCCCGCCCATGTCGTGACGACCCCGACGCACCAGCAGATCTCCGGCGCCACGGCCACGACTCAACATCTCGCACATCCACATTCCCTACCCGTGTAGCTAACGACTCGACAACGATAAACGCCGGTTACAGCCACTCAACAGCCCGCCACACCACAACCACGCCCAGCACTCCCCTCCCACTCCCCTACTCCCACCTGGATCATCGAGTTAGTTCAAAGGAAGCAGAGCACAATCCGCCCACACAAGCCCTGCTAGCAAGCCTACCCACACAAGCACCCCACACCACACCCCACACCACACCCCATAACAACCACCCCACCCACACCCACACCACACCCCACACACACCCCACACAACCACACCCACACCCCCACACACACCCCGACACACAACCCCACACCACACCCCCAACACACCCCACACCACACCCCACACCACACCCCACACCACACCCCCACACACCCCGCACACAACCCCACACCACCCCACACCACACCCCTCACACCACACCCCTTCACACCACACCCTCACACCAACCCTCACACCACACCCTCACACCACAAACCCCTCACACCACACCCCTCACCACACACCCTCACACGCACACCCCTCACACCACACCCTCACACCACACCTCACACCAACACCCCTCACACCACACCTCACACCACACCCTCACACACACCCTTC